TTTAAATCAAAACACAGGTGTCACCTTATATGTTTTCTAAATTGGAACAGATTGCTCATGCAGTATTTCACAAAATAGAGACAGTTACCTGATGATGGTCATACGAGTGGTTGAAAAATTAAAAAAAAAGTTAAATAAAAATAAACAATCCACTCAAAGGCTGTATCTTTGGACTTTTATTTAAAGTGTATAATGGATTTCCTCTCCTCACAACAAACATTAACTTCATCAAATTTAGTGTCAGTGAAGTATTAGATTTAAAGTAAAAGAGCATAATTTTGCTAAACCTAGTGACAAAGACGTAGACAAGAACTTCTGTCTGCTTCATAAGATAATTAAAAAATGAAATGGTAAAATAAAATCTTACAAGATATGGTAATTGAATTAAAAGAATGGTATAAATTACACATTTAGAACTAAAGATGGTAGCTACTGTTACTAAAACTTTTATAAAAACAAAAGGACCAATTTATTTTACCTTAAAAAGTGAATACTGTCGAGAATTAAACCGATTCATTCCACTAAACCCTTGACATGGGGGTCCTCCACAGAGAAGTTCCACTTCACCTTTCTGAGGAAGTCTCTGTCCTTTCTCGTTGCAGGTTTGACCCTAGAAAGAAAGAAATAACAAGTTCAGCATTTTTGTTTCTGCTCTGGTTTTTAACTCAAACAAAATTAACAAAAGAGAAATAATTATTTAGAGATATTTTTTCACTATTAAAACAACAAACAAACACTACAGTTGAAATAGCAATTAAAATATTTCACTGCTTTATATATATATATATTTATCAGTCTAGGTGGAATTACATGCACAATGTTATCATACATTACTTAAAAGTGTTTACTTTTAACATACACGGTTGTTAGTCACAGTTCGTTAAATGTAATTACCACAATCTGTGACAACTTGTTTGTTAGGAAATTAATAGAATCTTTACTATTAATGATTGTTTTCTTGTCTAGGACAGGTAAAAAAAAAAAATAGTGTACAATTAAAATTGGACTGCTAACTTTTCCAACAAGGCAAATAAAATTTTCTGAGCATGATTTACTACCAAAAAATGTAATTGTTTTCACTGATCACATTTTTCTGTGGGTGACACTATTTTTGTTTAGTGCAATGCCTGCAGGAATCTTGACTGAGAATTGTCAAGCCCCTGCTATAAATGACAAGCAGCAGCATCTGAATTCAGGCATGTGGGCAGTTTATTCTTTCATGATTTAGTTCCCAAGTTAGTTTTATTGTTTTTTCTTTTTCATCATTCATTGGATGATCATTTTTGATCATGTCAAATAACATACTGTTGCTTATAAAAGAAAAATAAATGGTTACCTCTAAGAACAAGGAACAACTATTATGAGAAGATAAACTATTGAAACTGCCTCATGAAATTTGTTTTGGGGAGGGGGGGGGGGTATTACTTTTTTTTTCCAATTAAAAATCCATTA